ACACAACCATGTGGTTGGCACAAACTATATATATAGTAAGTATCTGAAGAAATACCTAGAAATATCTGGATGAATCATTGTAGGTAGAAGGATGGAGGGGTAGACCAAAAGAGTATACAAGAATTGAAGCATTTCCAGAAATGTAGGTGCACTTTCATTTGAGAATTTGATTGAGTCATGCAGTTATATTTGTGTCAAAGTCTGTTTCTATAGAAACTGAACACCTCTTGCAAGGTAAGCCCTATGTTCATGAAATATTGTAAAACTTATGACATGGGGTTTCAGAATTTTTCAGGTGATCCTGTAAATTTTAAGTCATTTTAAGCACTTTTCATGACAGTCTTCATCTTTGACATTAAGGAATTAGCACAAATATCAATTAATGGAAGAATCACAATTCAGGAATGTCTACCTTCTAATATTTCTCTGCATTCAAAACACAAAATGAGGATGGTGTAGGGAAAGAGAAATCTGTCTATTAGGATTCAAGTGAGGTTAAGAAGAAAAGACCAGTACAGAGGCAGAAAAGGAGCTAGAAAAACCCTATAGAAATGACTATGAAACAGCTCTCCCACCCTTATTTGCTTTTCACGGATTGTAACAGAACAAGATGTGAGGAAACATCTGCTACCTTTTTAAAATAGTACTTTGATATTTAAAAAAATAGTGACAGAATTAGGAGAAGCCTGATTTCTATGGTTAGGGACAGCAGACACCTATGAAATGAAATAGGAAGAATTAATTAGTCTAGCATAACTTGATAGATTGGTGGACTGTGGCTTCATCTGCCATGCATGGCTCTGGAAAACAGCATCAAGTAATGGTTAGTCCGTGGGCTCTGGAGTTAGGCTGGCTGGTTTAAGTCTTGGCTTCACCACCTACCTGTGATATGATATTTAGCAAGCTGCATGGTCCTTCTTTGTCCCAAGTGGGCATAATAGTATTACCTGTCTCAGGCATGGTTGTGAGATTGAATGAAAGAAAGGAAACTTGGGGAGTTAATGCAGAGACTGGCACATAGTAGCATTTGCTAAATGTAGGCTCTTTTTTTTTAATTAACTGAAAATTGGGGCACTTTTCTTAGACTAGTCCAATAGGAATAAAAAGGCTCTAAAGCAGGAAAAGATACAAGTCTCTTTCTACTCCCAGTTTAATCAGTACATATACAGGCTAGCTAGAGGAATGGTGGAAATATAGTCCACACTAAGGCTGTTATAAAGCTAGGAACACCAGCCCTGATAAAAGCTTAGAGCACTAAAGTAGCTGAGCCCCACCAAAGGCAACCAGTCTTTATAGCTGTGTAGTGAATGTGCTTCAGAGAAGCTGAACAAGTACAGGAGAAATCTGCAGGGATCAGATTCCAGTCACTGCTGCCATGAGGGTGAATCCAAGCCAGGAAGGACAGAGAACGGCTGTGCACTGGACAGGAACACACCTGAGGCCAGGAGATCTAGTTATAAAGAATTCAGGCTCCAAGGATGACACTAAGAGTCAGAGGTGAGATGATGCATATAGAATGGTACCAAGTTTAAGGACAGGCATGTCCTTAACATTGAGATAGGTTCATTCTGAATGATAGGTAGTCACTGAAAAACAAGACCCCAGAGATTAAAGAGTGGTTCAGAGGGTAGTTTTTGGAGAAAAACAGTACAGGTCCTAATCCCTACTTTTGCCCATTACTTCAGAGGCAAGATCTATTAGCTAAGTTCAAGGATTTTTAGAACTTAAACCATGCAGTTTAATTAAAAGAACAAAGGCAATGTCTAAGCACCTCCTAAGTGCTCAACTAATATGGGTTATTAGGACTTCATTTGTACATATTCATTTACACGTCTTGTCTGAAAATGCCGTAGTTACAGTATAAATTGCAAAACAGAATACAATTATGTTAAATAGGTTTTCCTAAACCTTGTACTAAAAGATCTTCTTGCCATGTAGCCTTAGTATTTTTAGTGTATTTTCTTTAGGAGTGAATTTTCAACAAAACATGCCAAGTCTCTGTGCTATTTTGGACAAGCATAAAGGAGAGCCATTTTTAAATAAAAGAAATTCTGATTGTGGCAACAATGATCTAAATAATTAAAATGGATATAGAGGAATAGTGAAAGTCAAATTTAATTTTAGATTGGGCAAATTGTCTAGCAATATACTTGATCAGGTTTAGTTCACTAAGTTCCTCACCTGCTAGCTTTACATCTTGCCACAAATTCATATCTGCCTTACCAGGTGCCTTGAATGAAATCATTGGCTTTATATTTCAGAGCTGTCTCACTCTCAACCAATGTATTAGGTTTATTCACAGGATTCCTGCATCAGGCTGGGAGAGCAAAGGGGTTCTGAAGAAGAGACAGGCTATCATATTTTTGCTGCAGAATTAGACACCATCTATCTGAAAATGGAATCTGTGGTAAAAGTTTCCAAATTACTTGTAATTCTTCTCTTTGGATCCATTCAATTCTCCCAAGATTTGCTTTCAGAGAACCATTTAATAATGCAATAGATGCATTTTGTCTTATTCTACTTCTACTAATTCTATTGCCCAGAAGTCAATCCACAGAACTGTCCCTGATGCCATTCTCTCCTCTCTTTACCCATGATACACAACAGAATTAACTCACTTTATGAATGAATACTGCTCATTTCTGAAACCTGACAGACTTACAGGGAGCTGTCAATTGGCCAAGGGCTATGGTATCTAGCTACTAAAGAAACCATGACTGACCCAATTGTCCCAACATTTGCTATCTATCTCCTCCATTATTTACACTTCTACCTGGGGGTATAATAGAAAAGATGTAAAAAGTGAAATTCAGCCAGATAACTTGCCCGGATGTTACCAAACTCATGTATGATCAAAGTTCTAAAATCATTAGATGAAATAAACCTTGAGATAGTCCTTGGGTTTCATTAATCCAGTGGTTCTCAATCTCCAGCATGCATCAGCATCCCCTGGATTAGAAATTTTTGATTCAGAAAGTTTGAGAGTGGCCTAAGAAGTTGCATTTCTAACAGGTTCCCAGGTGATACTGATACTGCTGGTTCACAGACCATGAGAATCGCTGTACTAATCCATGCTTGGCCTTTCTTCTATTAACATGAATAATCTAGAATTTGCTTTTTCTTAGCTAGCTTTCAAAATTTATGCTCTATAAATAAACATTATGGGTTAAGTAGTTATTTTGGTATATTTGTACCTTGTACAGTGTAAAAGAAGTGGTAAAGTAGTTACTCTATACATTTGGTTGATTTAATTCACAAAGCAGTTAATTATTTGCCGAATCATGGCTCTAATCCACAAATCTCTTTGCTTCTATGTTATTGTGGGGTCAATGTAATACTGGCCTCCAATCTATTTTTAAATAGTGGGGCCTCAATTCTATGGTATTACAAGGAATTATTACATAGAAAGCATTGTCCATTGTTTTCCCCAATGATCTGACTTTATGAGCTTTTCTGGTGGTAGGAGAACTGAGAGCTCATTTGTCATAATTTTTTAAAATTTAGCATCACATTTATTTAGCTCTAATGAAGTATATAGAACAGAGAACAGCCCGAGCAACAGCATTACAGAGACCTTAGATGTAACTTCTGATTTGCCGAGTCACTGCTTGGGACATGCTTTGGTCACAAAACATGGCAAGAAGTTAAAGTGAGGGCAAGTCACATCACATAGGGGAGTGTTTGGGGTCCCTTAGCTTAAAAAACTTTGCTAATCACCTTGCACCCAGAGGGTGTATATCTAACTCCCATTCATTAATGCAGCTAGAGCACATCAGTCTCAACAATGAGAAATATTCTTGGATCCCTCATTTAATTGCAATGTATATATTTCCTTAACCGATATTGTAAGAAATTACACTCAAGCACCCGAGAGGCTAGAGTTAATATTTGCAGTCAGCTGTTAATTCTTTCCTTTTACTAGGTCACTTGTAGAATCCTGGCTGAAAGGGAGTCTGGGAAATGCAGTTTTGAACTTTTCCAGCATTTGTAGTCCGGGAAGTGAAGCAGGTTGAAACGGATCATATACAATATATACCACACTGTCAAACTGGTTAAAAGTAGAAAAGACCCTGGCTTTAAGAGTCTAAGGATGAGCTTCTAGACCTACTCTAAGTTGTGACTATTACAGTATTTTAGCTGTCCTACCCAACAGTGTGGCAGTATGATAGTCTTTAAGGACTTCATCACTTAAGCTGTATAAAGCACCAATTCTCTCATCATAAACTGCAGTGACAATAATAGCTACCTCCTAGGGTGTTTTTGAGTTAAGTGAGGAAATACAAAGTTCTTAAAATAGTGTTTGCCACATAGTAAGAAATCAATATTTCATTAACATGTGTATATGGGGGTCTCACTGAATGCTCTCTGACCTATGAGAGCCTGACATGATTATTATTTTTCTAAGAGGTATATTCAAGACCCGAGAATAGTTAAATAGATATTCAAGTTCAATGAACACCTCAATAAAAGGCAGTGCACCATGGGTGTGTTTCTCCGCTTAGCTGTCTGCATTCCTATCATACCTGAGCTCAGGATGGAGAAATAGTCTATATTTCCAGGGGTAGAGCTGTAAAATTGAGATATAACTCTGTATACCTCTTTATTGTACAGTGCCTGCCAAATGCCTTTTAAGCATTTGAGTTATTCTCACCCTTACCAAACAGCCTAATGTAATAACATGAGATGTTCCACTTTGGAAAACTTGTGTTACATTGGAATTCTTACATGCTAAAAAAAAGCTTGGTCTTTAGAGGTACTGCAGTTTTAGAAAGCTATGCCTTATAGAGTATCCTCTTTTTTTATTTTTACCTTGGGATTAAGGATAGAAGAGAGTGACTGCTATGTAACTTGTTCACTTTATCATGTAATAATTTGCTCTTTTTTGGTCAATACTGTATACTTGCACAAGCACAACACTATTTGAACTGTGAAGTTACACCACCATCTTGTGAATGCTGTGCCGCGACTAACCCAGGTATATCTCTCTCCTCCTGCTCTAGCTGGACAGTGCCACATCACTCATCCAGGCAGCTAAAAACCTGATGAATGCTGTTGTCCTTACGGTGAAAGCATCCTATGTGGCCTCAACCAAATACCAGAAGGTCTATGGGACAGCAGCTGTCAACTCACCGGTTGTGTCTTGGAAGATGAAGGCTCCAGAGAAGAAGCCCCTTGTGAAGAGAGAAAAGCCTGAAGAATTCCAGACACGAGTTAGACGAGGTTCCCAGAAGAAACACATTTCGCCTGTACAGGCTTTAAGTGAATTCAAAGCAATGGATTCATTCTAGGACGATAGGCTTTAATAAGAAAGCTTTTTTTTTTCCTTTTCTTTTTAATTCCATTTTTGTATGCATACCTGCCGACTCGTATGCCTCTGGCATGGGGAAATTAAGGGAGCAGTGTCTGTTTGCATGTGAGATGAGATGTGATCAATACTACTGATTCATCAGTAGCTGGGGAGGGAACAGGGAATTCCTGTCCTGAGGTGGCACAGAACTGTCCTTTGCAACATTCTCATAAAATTGGGCTAAGAGTTCGCATCGCAATGTTTATGGGAGTGGGAGGGATGGGGAAAATAAACTTAATTCTACAAAAGCAAACTCTAATGCATGCAAGAATCATTAGGTTGGCAGGTATCTTAATAAGTGAAAAATCTGGAAGTGTAATGGTAGAACATAAAGCTTGTATTGCTTCTGTTTCAGTGCAAAAATGTACTAGCCAATACGCTGAAGTGTGTGGCCCACAAATTGAACAATATAACTTTGAAGTCATATCCATGATATTAAGTGGATTTTTTACTAAGGAAAAACTAACTCATCCAACCAAAATGTTTCTTTTAATCTGTATTCTATTCTTTCTCTTGTAGTAGTGCCATTACTAGTGCTCATATTTTCAATTTTCCCCCTTTACTGAAAATAAACACTTATTTGAGACAATTATAATCCTTCTGGGGGCACTGGAAGCACAATATGGTGATCCATATTTTACTTTAAAAAAATTTGAACTATGATTTTGCTAGAAATAGGAGACCCAGTGATGGAATGATAGAAGAATGGAAACTGACAATGTGTGAAGGTTTAGAGGCAAATACATAGGTGTAGCTCAGAGTGCTGGTATCTAAATATGCCATTGTATCCACTAACTCAAAATAAACACATATAATCTGGAAATTTGACAAATGCTTCTTTTTTTTTTTAAATGCATACTTAATGAAAGATAAGAGCATCTTTTTGAAAATCGGTTAAAAAATGCTTTTTTAGAGATTGGGGATAAAATTGGTGATATCTCTGGGTCATCTTTGGAGCCCAGAAATTACTTTTGATTTATTTCATATTTTTCCATTTGTTTTTATTCACTTTCAAACAATCTAAAATGATAAAGTCATGTATTAGTCTTACCTGGGCCATGTTCAGCCCTGGCTAGACTTAAGATAATGTGTTCTCAGAAACTGAAAAAAAAAAAAAATTCTAGGGGGACTCATTAATTTCAAAATATTTTCTCTCCAAATTGTGAAAAGAAGGCCTCTGTCCCATTACTCAGAAGTAGGCTGTAGTCTTTCAACTATGGCTTGAAGAGAAAAAGTCCCCAAATGTTCATCTGAGTGCCCAAAACTCCTATCATTTGACTTATCCCTACAGGTTAGCATGTTACAGTATGTCTCCAGAAGATTTCTGGTAAAATAATATGTGTTTCTTAGCAATATGATAATGCGCTGGGAGTCATAGACCCCTAGGCTATATTAGTTTAGGTGAAAGGTCCCAAAGAGAAGAGACCTTGGAGTTGAGGAAAGAGAAAAGCTTGGTCAACACTGTATTTAGATATGGTTCTACTCCTCATCTGGACTCAGAATGATCTATCAATAGAGGACTCACCATCAATGGTGTAGACGAATTTTCAACACTATTATACAACCATTTCAATTAGACTGCCCCTTTAATTTGCATACACATTGATACTCATTCTTCCAGATATTTATGGAATGACTTCTTGGAGCCAGGTCCTAAGCTGAACATAACACCCAGTGAACTTATTGGCAACCTTCCTTATTAAGACTTGAGTATGGCATAATTCTCTGGGTTTGTGCACTATTCTATGATTTAATGGGTTGAAGGAATTAAGTATTCTTCAGACCAGCCAAGAAACTTGAAAACTCCTTGAGAAATCCTAAAACATATTCAGCAGGCATAGAGGAGCATGTAGAGAATGCCTTTGACTTTGCTCTATAAATTCTAAATGTTTTAGTACATGCTTATGAACAATGCTTATGTGTGTGTTTTCTGGAAATCAGTCCTTGCTTTTTATCACTATCCACTATTGTTCTTATGATCAAAGAGAATAACTACTCAGAAAGATAATTAAATATAGATACTCTGCTGAGAGCACTACAGCAATGAAAAGGCTTATTGTTTGTTTCCTGTCCTTAAGAAAATAAGTCTAGTCAAAATGATGCGGACAGAAAAGAGATAAGTAAATATGCCAAGAAAGCACAATGTGCCAAATGAATGGGATAAAGTGATAACTACTCTGTGAGACTAAAGAAGTCAGAACACATTAAGGACTGAATTATTTGGGGAAGGATTAATAGAAGAGGTAGGATTTGGAAGTGAGTAAACAGTAAATATATTCTAAATGAGTGAAAGATAGAAATTAATAAATTTGGTAAGGGGGATGACTGGGGTGGGCCTTCAAGCAAAAAGAACAGCATACTTCAAGGTCTGGCAACAAGTGCAGTTGCAGGGAACATGAGTTTCATGATGGGGACTAGTGGGAAATCAATGTGGAGATGTGGTATGAGGCTAAACTGTAGAGGGTCATGAAGGAATGTGACCATTATCCAATAGGTAATATGGAATTTTAAATGGGATGGTGATACAGACAAAGCAGTGCCTTCATAAGATATAGCTGATAATATGGGGGGATGTGAAGGCTGAAAGGGACTGAGGTTAGTTAGATGGGACAAATGTGATAGAACCATAAGAAGGATTTGCAGTTATTTGTTGAATAACTAGATTTGAGGTAAGAGAATGATTAAAGTATATAATTTATTAAGGAAGATTAAAGAGTCAGAAAACTGAAAATTATCTACAAAGGATAAACATGGATTAGAAAAAAAGCTGAATATATAGTATATTTGAGAAAACACAGTTGGTAATTAATCCCAAGCAAATGGAGTTACTTGGGTTATTTCCTGCAGAAGTAGCATTTTGGGATGCATGAGAATGGATGTTCCTGATGGGAGGGAATTAAATAAATTTCAATTTCCTTTGACTCTCTGTGCTAAGACTGATGGTTCAAAAGACAAAATCTTTATATTCTCAAGGACTTAAACTATCCAGGGAAACATGGATTATCTATAGATCTGTAGTTTACTTTCATTAAATATTCAAGAATATGAAGTCAACTTTATTTTTAGATGTCAACTTTTATAAAAATTAGGTCATGGTTTTAGCTCATGGAGAAACAACGTATATAGGTGTCATCGTGATGGTCATCAGTTTTTGAGCATCAGTAATATGGTACCTCCCAGACACTTGAGGTATAACGATCTATAAAATATTGTATATAGCTGAATCATCCAACAAAATAAGATTCAGAAATATTGTGACTTGATAAATTGTAGTCCCTAAATTTGCTGATAATAGATTTTAGTCATTTGATTTTTATTGCTGTGTCATTACATATTAACCAGGTCAAAGGGGTGGGTACTTACTCTTCATTTGGAGATTTTTAAAGGTAATGAGAGGAAGTGAATTAACTACAGAAGGCTATTAATAATATTTTTAAAAATAGTGCTGAGGAGTGCTATCAGCAAGATAGTGGACTAGGATACTCCAGGCCCTTGTTCCCCCATGGAAACACAAAGTAAATAACACACTGACCACAGTATCTTTGCGGGAACCCTAGAACCCAGTTAAGGATTTGCAGCAACCAAGCAAATGTCTAAACAAGATAAAGTCACAGTCAATATGGAAAGAAATTTTGGGGGTTATTGCTCACCCATGCCCTGCCTCTTCCCTGGCACAGCATGATCAGGGGGAAGCTATCCAGTTCTTGGTTCTTCACATACAATGGAAGGGAAAGATTTCTTCACTTGGAGCTCTGGTGGAAATGGTGGCATAGTTTGGATATCAGGCTGAATGCCACTAAAAGCAGTGGCAGTCACTACTGCATTGAAGAGCTGCAGGGAGGCTGCAGACCCGTGGGCCCCTGGAGGTGAGAGATTATCTGGGCAGAGGAATACAGTAGAACATCTAAGATCTTGAAGGCAGCCATGTAGAGGGAGGGATTGGGATGGGGTGTGGGGAATGCACAAACACAGGCCCAGGGAAAAGGTATGCTTAGAAAGGCTTGAGAAGACCATAAACCTTCATGCCACGTTGATTAGTGAAAGTGTTTTCCTTCACAGAGCCAGTCAATAAAGGCTGGAAAAGGCCCTGCTTTTTTTCAAATTACCACCTACATATTATCTATGAGTGACTCACATTAGATCTAAGCAAACATATAGGTTGAAAGTGAAAAGATGGGGGAAAAAAATCCATATAAATAATAACCCAAAGACAGCAGGATGACTATTCTAATATCAAACAAAATATACTTTAATTCAAAGCTGTTACTGGATACAAATGACACTACATAATAATTAAAAGTTCAATGCACCAGAGAGATATAATTACAAACATCTATGCACCGCATCAAAGCTCCTAAATATATAAGGCAAGCATTGACTGGATTGAAAAAAAAGCTTTAGAATAATATGAAACCTCATTCAAGAATGGGTAGAACAGACAGACAGAAGATCAATAAGGAAATAGGAAACTTGAAGAACACTATAGACCACTTGGACCTAATAGACATTTGCAGAACACCCCACCCAACCACAGAAGACATGTTTTCTCATGTTACTCATGTAACATTCTCCAGGATAGACCATATGTTTGGCAAATAAATAAGTTTTAATCAATTTTAAAAGAATGAAATTATACAAAGTAGCTTTTCTGATCACAATGGAATGAAACTAGAATAGCAGAAAGAATATAAAAAAATCCTCAAATATGTGGAAATTAAACATCAAACAACCAATTTGTCAAAGGAAAAATAGGGAAATTCAAAATTATCTTGAGATAAAAAAATTAAACATACTAACACTTATGGAATGAATTAAAGACAGTGCTAAAGTATAAATTTATAGTTGTAAATAATTTCAGTAAAATAAGGAAGTCTTACATCAACAACCTAAATTTACATCTCAAGGAACTAGGGGAAAAAGAAAGCTAAACCTAAAGCTAATAGAAGAAAGGAAATAATAAAGATTAGATCAGATATAAGGAG